GGGGAAGGGGCGCGGGTGGGGGTGGGGGCCGGGGCCGGGGCCGGGACCCGGACGCGCCGCGCTGGACGCCGGGTCCAGGCCTTCGTGCTGGCCACGGTCTCCCTCCAAGACCCGGGCCTTATTCTTTCAGACCCGGCCTGCTTTGCTGGAGGAACTGGAGGGTCGGGCGAGTGGGGGTGCAGCGCAGCGACGAGGGGACCCGTGGACGCCGACTGGGCACCGTTCGGTGACCGCGATAAAGCCCGTTGAGGTTTGGGCAAAGTACCCGTGCACAGGGCCTCTAAGCTTCTACGGTCCCGATTGTGTTGCCTGTTAAAAATCACGGAACGAGGGGTGCGGCTAGGGCACTGTCACTGTCTGTGGTCTTTAATTGTGCTGTGCAGCATTCCCAGACCCTGGGCGAGAGACGGGGTGGGGTTGTGAGGGCGTGAGAGAGCATACCTTACGCCCGGAACGAGCGTTTTATTGTTAGAACTTTGTTTTAGAGGAATACATAGGTTGACCCTCACCTTATAAAACTTTAAGCCTTATAAGCCAAACAGAATGAACTTTAGACAAAGGAACACTATCATTACTGCTTTGTGGGTTTTTTTTTTAACTTATAATAATCTCTCTTTTTTTTTCCCTAGATTTTTCGGGCATCTGTTGTCTTTAAATCTTGAGTTGAGGGTTGATTATAACGAAAAACCATGACAGCCGCAGAGAACGTGTGCTATACGTTAATCAACGTGCCAATGGATTCAGAACCGCCATCTGAAATTAGCTTAAAGAATGATCTAGGTAAACTTTGAAATTTTAAAATGAAAATAATAAAATGGCATGTCATGCTTCATTATCATTAGAAATTCTTGATTTTTGTCTTGAGAATATTTTTCTAGATTCTTTTCAGTGGACCTTTTATCTTACTAAAAATGAAAACTTACTACCTTTAAACTTGAAGTGTTTGTTTCCTGAAATAGACCGTTTCAGTTTAGCACAGTAAAGTTAAGAATGTAGCTGTTTAATTGTTAGACATTCTTCAAAACAACATAATTACTTGGGCAGTTTATTATTCTTAAATATAGCTGACAATTCTCTGGGGTTAACTGGATGAGAATGGGTCTGGGGTTAACAGGATGAGAATGGGTATGAGAAGTCTTAATTCTTTTGTGCACTTAACTTTCACTGCTTATAAAACCAAAAGAACTTTGTTCATTGGCTTTCCCACCCAAACTAATGAAGTCAATATGGGAATAAATATTTTTTTTAATGGTAGTTTTAAGCTTTTCATCTTTAAAGCCTTTTTGCAAAGAAGAAAATAACTATTTCTAGATGTTAAAAGAGTATGCTTTCTCCTTTTTGTGAGTCTGTCAAGAGAAAAATTTAACATACTTTCCAAAATAATAACTAGTTTAATTGAACTACTAAAAACATAACTTAAGGGGACCAGCAGGTGGCCTGGTGGTTAAGGCGCTGGACATTTCCATATGGCAGACCGCAATTCAAGTCCTGGACCTGATGGCTTGCTTTCTCAGTTTCCATTTCTCTCTCTCTTTCTCTCTCTCTCTCTCTCTCTCTCTCTCTCTTTCTCTTTATCTGTGTGTGTGTGTGTCTGTGTCTCTCTATGGTCAAATTAAAATAAATGAATAAAATTAAATAAATAATTCTTTTTTTATTTGTTTATTCTTTTTTTTGGAGAGGTTTTTGCTATAGGGTGTGTGCGCTCGTCAGAGAGATAGAAAGCAAGAAATCACCCCCCGGGAAGATGGCCATGCCACAGTCCCCTCTCCTCCATTCTCCTCTCGGGATCTTGGGCATGCACGCACACATGCCCAGCGTGAGTTAAAGCCGCCAGGTTCAGGAGTCAAACCACAATCGACTACATTGGAGTCCAGCGACATAGCCATTACGTTAACTGCTGGTCCCAAATAAATAATTCTTTTAAAAAAGATAACAAACTGATAACCACTGTTATGAGTGTTTTTTTTTTTTTTTTTTGGAGAGATTTTTGCTATAGGGCGCGTGCGCTCGCCAGACAGACAGAGGCATAGAGACAGAAAGCGAGAAATCACCCCCCAGGGGGGATGGTCACGCTGCAATCCCTTCTCCTCCATTCTCCTCTCGGGATCTTGGGCATGCACGCACACATGCCCAGCGTGAGTTAAAGCCGCCAGGTTCAGGAGTCAAACCACAATCGACTACATTGGAGTCCAGCGACATAGCCATTACGCTAACTGCTGGTTCTCGAGAGTTATTTTTAAATAGAGTAAAATTATGCTTCAAATGTTGAAAGCATTTATAGAAGGTAGATTAGTTTGCTGTTTGAAAAAAGTCTCAACATTTTACTCACCTATTCTTGCCTCTTAATCAGTAGTTGTGGAATACCTCCTGATTTTAGGTCCATATTAAATTTCTTTTGATGTTTTCTTTCGTTTTGTTTATTAAAATTTGCTAGAGTATATGTGTGTTCACCAAATAGAGGGGAAAAAAAAATAGGGAAAGTGAGAAAGCACCTTCCTATAGGGGATGTGCATGGTCATGTTACCTGGTATACCTATGGATTCATGAACTCTATGTTAACTCAGTCAGGGACCAGAAATAAAGAATCCAGAGGTTTAGAGGTAAACAACCTATGTAAAGTTATACATTTGAGTTTGTACTTGTATTATCTTTGCCAATAGTATAGTAAGAACATATGCTTTATTGCATTAATTGCTTTTAAAATTAAGGAACTTTCTTTTGACTTAATAGTGTTTTTATCTTTTTCTTCTTTCTTGAATCAGAAAAAGGAGATGTGAAGTCAAAAACTGAAGCTTTGAAGAAAGTAATAATTATGATTTTGAATGGTGAAAAGCTTCCTGGGCTTCTGATGACCATCATTCGTTTTGTACTACCACTTCAGGATCACACCATCAAAAAATTACTTCTGGTATTTTGGGAAATTGTTCCTAAAACAACTCCAGATGGGAGACTTTTACATGAAATGATCCTTGTATGTGATGCATACAGAAAGGTAAACCAAAACATAATTATTTCTGAATATTAATTTGATTTAAAATAATTGTAAAATTGGTGAAATGGGCTTTGTTTTCATTTTTTAAATTAAAAGTCTTTGATAAGATGTAAGTTATGGTGACCAGCAGATGGCATAATGGTTATGTCACTGGACTCCCACATAATAAACCGTGGTTCGAGTCCTGGACCCGGCAGCTTGAAACTTATACTGGGCTCATGTACATGCATGCCCAAGATCCAGAGAAGAGAATGGAGGAGAGGGGATTATGGCATGACCATTCTCCTGGGAGTGATTTCTCACTTTCTGTCTCCCTGTCTCTTTCTGTGTTTCTGGTAAACATACCCACCCTCTAGCAAAAAAGTCTCTCTTTAAAAAAAAAGATATAGGGGACCAGCAGGTGGTGTGGTGATTAAGGCTCTGGGCACTCCCACATGGTCACCACGATTTGAGTCCCAGACCTTGTGGCTTGCTTTCCCACTTTCACTTTCTCTGTTTGTGTCTCTCTGTTTGTGTCAAACTAAAATAAATGAATGAATAAATAAAATTAAATAAATCTTAAAAATAAAAATGATATACGTTGTGGTCATTAGTATTGAAGCTATAAAGAGTTATTGTAAAACTGATTTTCAGACTTATAAGTATGCTTTAATAACATACATATAGTATGTAAGTTATTGATGAAATAGATAAGAATGGCTTTAATCAACAGGATTTTGATGAGAATTATCTGATAATCTACATCTTTTTCTTAAACTTAGATTTTTCCACTGGAAAGTTTTGCATTTAAATTTTTGTGTTTTTTTTTTTAAAGGTGAAATTTAACACTTTATATTTTTATATCAGGATCTTCAGCATCCTAATGAATTTATTCGAGGATCTACTCTTCGTTTTCTTTGCAAATTGAAAGAAGCAGAATTGCTAGAACCTTTAATGCCAGCTATTCGTGCTTGTTTGGAACATCGACACAGCTATGTTAGGAGAAATGCTGTTTTGGCCATCTATACTATCTATAGGTAATGAAGATAACTCTTTTGGCTTAGTTCTTTGCAGGTTGTTTAGGTATTTGGACTAGAGGTTCTAAAGTGTTTACTTGCAGACAGTGTTTACTTGCTTACAGATTTGTGTGATAAGGACAATATTTTTTTCCTTAATGTCATTAAGTTATCAAAATTGAAAAGTCAAAGCTTTTGGCATCACTGGGCCCTAGTTTCTGCATTAGAGTGATCTACTGAAATTGAATGACAGTAGCTGCTTTTAAATCAGTTACATGCTTTTCAATTTAGGACTATGTCTGTCATTCTCAGTGGTACTACTCTAGCACACTTAATTCATTTGTTTTCTTGCTTAGCCCCTAAAGACTTTAAGTTTTTTATCTTGTCTTAGAATTCTCTTTTCATGAGATGTGGGTCTTATCTTTTCACCTTTAGAGCTTTCGAGAGGGAATTTTTTAATGAGAAGGGGTACTGTCCTCACCTAATTCCTGTTTTTAAAAAGCTGAAGATTTTGAATAAATGAATAAATAAAATTAATTAATTCTTTAAAATTAAAAAAAAAAGAACTAAAAGAAGTAGATGAGCTAGTGTGCTTTAATTTTAGTGTCACTGGTTTTTGTCCACTTAGAAGTGACTAATTATTATGAACGTCTTTGTACATTAGGACATTAGTTTATTGGATATAATTCCAGTTATTTTACTGGTAGATTAGATTTTTATTTATTAAGAAAAGTGGTATTCTGGTTAAGAATATAGTTGAGTTTTTTGAATGTTACCATGTTTACAAACCACAGATTTCAGAATTTAAAGTAGTACATATACAAAAATCGTGACATTCAAAATACAATTGGAAATTTGAACACCTACAGTTTATATCATAACGTTAAGGAATTATTTTTAAAGTATGATAATGGAGTTATGATTAGTTTTAAAAATAGAGTTCTTAATTTTAGAGAAGATACTTACAGAAGAATAAGTTGCTTAGGATTTTCTTCAAAAGGATATGGGAAGAGGGCAGAGGTTTAGGTGAACAAAACTTGCTTTGAATTAATTGTTGAAAATAGGTGATAGTTTTTGTTAGCTGATATTTCTTATCCTGTATACTATAGATGTTTTTAAATTTTCATAATAAGTTGGTAAATACAGTATACGATTATAAATTTAAAGAGACTATTTTGTTTTCTTTGAATTGTTACTGAAGGATCTTTCCTTGATTAAGAAAAAGTTTTAACACTATGAGTATTGATATTATGTGTCTAAGTTTATAAAATATATCAATAATAATGACATATCAGTTCATAGATAGTAGGTTAACTGAATAAATTAGCTTTTTCTGTGTTGAACTAGAAAACATGATTTGATAGCTTAATAGAAGAAGGGATAGAGTTGTGATTTCTTCTTCTAATCCCAATTGATTTGAACCGCAAAAGGTAGTATCATAAAAGTTGATTAAGTTTAATTTTGGTACTGTCCAGAGAATTATTAAAATATTGAATTCTGCTTTTATTAAATGTGGATGTTACCTATTTTATTTAAAGAAATTTTGAACATCTTATACCTGATGCTCCTGAATTGATACATGATTTTCTGGTGAATGAGAAGGATGCAAGTTGCAAAAGGAATGCGTTTATGATGCTAATTCATGCAGATCAGGTAAAGTCATTTTCAGAAATACTTTTATGACTGTATTTAAATGAGAAGTAAAAAGTTAAAAGTATTACATAGATCTTTTTTTTGTTGCTTTTTGTTTGTTTTTGTCATGGAGTGTGTGTGCTTCCCAGTGAGAGACAGTGAGAGGGAAAGTAAAAAATCCCCATCATCCCCTACCCCACACTGCAGTCCCTTCTCTTCCATTCTCCTCCTGGGATTTTGGACATGTACACATACATACCTGGCATGATTTTCAAACTACCATGTCCAGGATTTGAATCATCATCATCCACTTGGGGATCTAGTGCCATAATCACTACATTACCTACTGGCCTCTAAGTCTTAGATTTTTAGTCATTAATTTTGTTTATAGTACTGTGCTTTGTGTGTGTATATGTGTGTGTGTGTGTGTGTGTGTGTGTGTTTGTTTTTTAGGGCTTTTGGCTTAATTTGTAAAAAAACACTTTTTTCCCCTTAACGCTTTTCTAAAATACTATCTGTGTGTGTGTGTGTGTGTGTATGTGTGTGTATATATGTATGTGTGTGTGTGTGTATGTGTATATTTTGGCCATAGGATATGTGTGCTCACTGGAGAAAGAGAGAGAGAGAGAGAAAGAGAAATCACTCCCCAAGAGAGGTGGCCACATCACAATCCCTTCTCCATTTTTCTGTCCAGAGTTTGGTTACACACATGCACACGCCACTGAATTTGGAACTTGATCCCCCATTTGGAATGCAGCACCTTAACCACCACACCATCTGCTGGCCTCTATTCTTTTTTTTTTTTTTTTTATCTGCCTGTCCTGAAGGAATT